AGGAAAGTTTTAAGCAGGGTCTTAAAAGTTAAACATAAGTCATAAAAAGAGTGAAACATGTTAAATAGAAAACTTACATCCTACAAATATGAATCTGATGAATTTTAAATGATCTGTATAAATTCAATCAAAGATGCGTTTGAAGGAGTAAACATTTCTGCTGTTCAAGGGATTTTCAAACTATCTTAAATATATTTTAGAAACCGACTGAATAGATTTACTAATATGGATCAGTCCCATTTTTACCAATACATTATATTTTCTTCTTTATCGGGATCGGTAATTATATTATTATAGGTGGATCTCTATGCTGAAAGAATAGAATCAATTAACTTTTTCATGACGGAATGGGTTAAAAGTAACCAGGAGAACTTCTGTGATTCTTTCCTCACTTTTTTAAAATATAAATTAGTTTATAATTTTTTGTTTTTCATATATTAATGCTAACTTTTCTGTGCTCCAGTCAACCCTGCCATGCCCGGTTATGGAGCGCCCGCCATGATGCCAAATATGCCAGGTAATCCTCCTCTGAAGCTGATATTAGGTTGTAGAAGCTCTAATGACCTGTTTAATCTTAACCTCCCTCCACATCTAATATATAACACATATTGTTGTGCATATTTAGCCATGATGCCTCAGACTCCTGCTGTCAGTGACCCCATGCAGATGGCAGCAGCTCAGCAAGCTCTAATCAACCAACAGGCCTTACTTATGGTGAGTTCCAGAGAAGTTTTATCTCAAGGAAACATTAAACTCTTCTATCCTTGCTTTTCTCCATTATTTTGGGTTTCTTTTTTAATTTGCCGCATAGGCCCAGCAGATGACGATGCAGGCGATGACGTTGTCTCAGAAGCAGACAGAGGAGCAGCAGAAGAAGGAGGAGCAGCAGAAGAAGGAGCAGCAGAGGAAGGAGCAGCAGAGGAAGAAAGAGGAAGAGGAGAGAGAAGAGAGAGATCGGCGGTCCAGGCGGAGTTCAAGACGACGCTCCAGAGAACGCCATCGTTCTCCAACTCCCTCCCCTCCACCTGAGAAGTCCAAAGCATCTGGGAGTAAAAAAGCCCAGAAGCAGCCAGAATCAGAGGTATTTCCGATCGATCCGTCTGCCTCTGTATTTATTTAAGCATTTCTCTGCCTGTGTATGGAGTGAACTTTCTTCCATTATTGTTACAAATGAAAAAAAAATCCAGAAATTAAACTTTAAAACACGTTAAAAAACAGGGGTTTAACAGAACCTTTGCTCATTTCTTGTGTTATATTTTTACATTTTTTTTTCATATTTTATTTTTTTATATATATATTTTTAACCTTTATTTTTTCAAAAAAAAAAACGTCTTTTATATCAGATTTATATTTTTTACATTTCTCCTTGTCAGACTGAACAGCACAATTTTCAAACGCGTTTTTCAATGGATCGCATTCTCTTCGCTTAAAGCCCGATCATAATGTTGCTAACGTCCAGCAGACCAATAGAAATGCTTCTTTGCTCCTCCCGCCAGAAGAAAGCCCGCCCCCCCCGAAGTGAAGAGAATTTGAATTTATTTACTTAGTAGTTTTCAATGTTTCATTTCTGGATTTTTTTCCATTAATGCATCAGTGCACCCTAACTCTCAGCTTAATTGAATTAGAGGTACTGAAACTGACATCTCAATTACAATGTAAATTGTAGTTGACAATAAAGAAATTGATTGACTGATTGATAAAGGAAAAGGGGCAAAGTGTATTTTTAAGATGGCTTGTTTTGTTCTTGCTGATATTCTATCACAGGTAAAAAACTCGATTTTCATGATCATATGTTGTCCTTTACTTTCACAGCCAGAGGAGGAAGAGGAGGAGGAGGAGCTGCCAGACCCAGAGGACCTCCAGTCTTTCAGAGATAAGAGGGAATTCTTTCAAAAGATTGGTAAACTGACTTAACTCTTTAAAACCAACACTGTGTCTGAACGTCCGCCCTAACCTCTCTTGAAAAAAAAGTGCGCCCATTGTCACTAGACGAGCAGATATATCCCAGAATGCTTTGCAAGAGTTCATGCACAGCATCATGGGATTTGTTTTGGGGCTGAGAAAGAACAAAGATGGCACAGGATGTGTGCAGGGAGGCGATCATCTGTCTGAACGGTTAGTCAACTGAATTCACTATATAGTGATGGGGGGGTCAGGGGTCAGGGCGGATGTTTGGAAACAGCCAAAGGGTATCATATTTGATAGATGGATTTTTGAGACCTCTGCATCATCATTGTGACATTTTGTTTTTGAAAAGCCTGATTTATGTGATTAGACACCTGCAGTGAACAAAAAATGTAAAAGACTATACAGAAATGCCTATTGTATCAAAAATGATGTAATTAAATTATCTAATTTAACTTATATCAAATCCATCTTTTTTTTAATTTCATTTGTCGGAAAGTTGAAAGACAACTTTAGTTTAGAGAAATTGTATATTTTATGACCCTTTTTTCCTGGCCCTGGCTTTAAAGGATTGAAGTCAGGGTTCTGTGACTGATGTTTCTGTTCTTTCCTACAGGCAGTAAACCCAAAAAGGAAAAAAGAACTCCCAAAAAACAACCATCTCCTCCAGCATCAGAGAGGGAAACTAAACAGAAACGTCGTCAACGTTCACCAGTTCCACCATCCCCACCACCACCATCCCCACCCCCACCCTCTCCACCACCCCCTCCTGTACCACCGAAGCCTGAAGGTAAGAAAATGATCATGTCCATCCATCATGGATGGATGGATGCATGGATGGAGGATGGATGGATGATGGATGGATGGATGGATGGATGGATGGATGGATGATGGATGGATGGATGATGGATGGATGCATGGATGCAGGGAGGATGGTTGCATGGAGGATGGATGGATGGATGATGGATGGATGCATGGAGGATGGATGATGGATGCATGGATGGATGGATGATGGATGGATGCATGGATGCATGGAGGATGGATGATGGATGGCTAGAGGATGGATGGATGGATGGATGGATGGATGGATGGAT